ACATGACGTTGTTGTCCTGTTCATTTTCACCTAAAGCTGAATTATGCTTAAGTGCATTATGTTGAACTGATAGATGGATTCTTTTCATAAGATTTTATGGTTGGATTCACTTCTAATAAGATTTCTTGCTTCTTTCTGCATTATTGTATTTTTGCTGATCTAATCTCTTGCATTATTGTTGTACTTTTACAGTGACTTTTCTTGGATTCTTCTGTGGACACTTTTTTGGTGGCTTTACTTAAAAATTAGTAAAAATTTTTATTATTTTATCTAAATCTATGTAATGTATTTTTAATTCAATTTAATACTACTATTTATTCAAATTATTTTTATTTATTTTCATTAAAATTTTAGCAATTGTTTTAATTGAAAGTACATTACTCATTTTTAAATAAAATATTAAAATTTTTTACTCCTTTTTAAATAGTGGAGAATTTTTTTTCTCTAGAGCTTGATTCTGGGAGAGATATTATAGTTAAATTAATAAAAATGAAAGAAGTATGCATAGTCTTGAATTAATTAGAAAGATTAAAAAAAATCAAATTTAATGACCAACAAACAGATTTAAGTTTATAGTAATTTAGAAAGATTTGGTTTTCTATTTTATTTTGACTTAGGTTATATAATTTTAAACATTTTTAAATTATAAAATTTAAAATCTAGTCTTTTATTTGAGATATCTATATTTAAAATCTAATTTTTTATTTGAGATATCTATATGTACCTTGTATAATAATTATTTTGGAAATTATCTTCCTCCAATAAAAGGGAAATCCTCCTCTTCCGTAAGGTTCAAAAGACTTAAGTGAAGTGTTTAGGTAAAGTTTATAAAATTTTTTATTAGAAACAATTAATGAAAGTCTAAAATTGAAAATCAAAATACATAAATTAAAAGGTTTTGTTACATAGATTAAATGTGTAAATATTGATAAATTTTTAATAAATTTTGATATATTTTTAGATGAATATTTTTAGTAAAAATATTGATAGAATTTTTATTAAATAAGTTTAGATTAAATTTGAATTATAAATAATATTTTTAATAATTTTTTAACATATTATTTACCTTCATATTAAATTCTATCAATCTATAGATTAAAATTTTTTATTAAATCATTTTTTAAAAAAATTCACAAACTTTATATTAATTTTATTCTAAATTTAAGTCTCACTGCATATGAGTTTATTTTAATTTTATGATGAATTTATTTAACTATATTTTAATTTGTTGATTGATTATTTATTTGATTTTCAAGTCTTATTATATTTGAGTTTGTATGTTGAATTTGTGTAGTCATATTTTAATTTGTTGATTGGTTGATTAATTGATTATTCAATAATATAATATTCAATTTTAATTATAATTTATTCTTATAATCTCAAAAAAATAAAAATAAAAAATCTTGCTTTTAGAAAAGTAGATTCGATACCTCCCTTTCATGTATCGATGTGGCAGAAAAAGTCTTAATCAAGTCATGACATTCCGCTTTCGTTTTCCAGCACGCTCTGTGACCATCCCAGCTAGTTAAACACCATGCTGAGAATGATCTTTACCGCTCATGCTGGTCAACGAGGACTAGGAGGCGGTTAATCACGCTCTGATTACAAGGCCTTGTTTCATCAACCAGACTTGAGATCCTGTCTCCTTTGTGCTAAAGGATACAGAAGTACGAACCTATAGAACAGATTCTGTTCAAGTAAGATCGTACCCTCTTCCTCCTATAAATACCATCCAGAACTCATATGTCTTTTCCATGTGAGACTATATGACTGCTTCGTGGTGGTCAGCGTTATTTGGCCTAGGTTTTGTTAGAAAATTGGCAGAGCAGAGGGAAATTAACAGGACCTGGAAGTAAAACATTTCCATTTTTTTCTTCCCGGCATGTCTAGTTTAACAGCTATACCACATTTCTATTTTTTTTTCCCTGGAGGTAAAACATTTCCCCTTTTTCTTCCTAACATAGTATTTGCAGTATGGATTAGCATCTAAGCAACAGACACATAGTCTCAAGTGTTGTGCTTTTGCCTGGAGGAAACTTACCGCTGCATCCACCTAGGTTTACAAAACCACACCTTGACACTTTTCACAACGGTATTAAAACTTAAATAAATAGAATTATATGTTATAATCTTATTATTATTTTATTATTTCTGTATTTTATATTAGAGAAATTTAAATTTAATAGTTTGAACAAAAATACATATACATTCGATTGAATCAAATTTTAATTTATTGTTTAAATTATAAATGTATTGATTTTTTAAATATTATTATATATAATGAGAATTGCGCTAATTGGTTTGTTTGGTCATTTTTTTAAAATTTAATGCAAAATTATGTTAATAGGCATAAAGCTTTTAAAAATAAATTTGTTTTTGAAAAATAGAAATTATGTTTTCGAATTGTGTTACCATTATTCATTATTGACAAAACAAACTTATATAAGGATTGAAACCTCTCAAAAAGATTATGAGCTTTCAAGGGTTGGCTTTTAAGAACATGTTTTACATTTTACACTATGTAATCAATATAGAGAACCTGGATTCTGCATTGGAGTTACACTAATTATGGTTTTTTTGTGATGTTCTCACATCATGCCATCAAAATAATTAGGTGATTTTTCTCTCTCAAAATTTTAAATAAAGGAAACTTGCCTAATGAGTTATGTCTTATGAGCAAAAAGAGGAATTAAAAAAAAAACTATTGTAACTCATTTGAATGGTTTTAAATTACAAATTACTAAGAATAAAAAAAATGAGAGAAATGATAACAATATAATTAAACAAAAAAAAGGAATATAAAATATTTTTAAACCGAAAGAATAAAATAGAATGAATAAGAAAAATTGAATGATTGAAAATCTGTATACGTATTGTCATGGTAAAAGAAAAATTAAGATATTCCAATTTATTTTTAATTTGATTGTATAAATTATAAAATAATTTATTAAATTATAAATAGCATTATATGTTATCAAAATTATGATGGATTTGTTTGACCGGCATAACAGGATTTAAAATTAGTTCATTAAGAATTTATATATGATATCATTGTATTAGATTTTTTAATTTAATAATAATTTTCATGCATCAAATTAATAAAAAAATGTTATCCATATAATAGGATAGACACTCCATTTAGTTCAAGGTGAATTTATATTTTAAGATTATGTTTTGAATTTATTTATTTATTTATTTTTGGTATTATATTTAGTTTAGAGTTATTATTATTATTTAAAAAACAAAAAAATATTTTATTGAAATTTGAAAAGGGTTTAAATTCTAATTGAGTTGTTGAATTGAAAATGTTCTAACTGAAAAAGGATTGTAAAAGGGAATTAGTTTGAGAGATGGATTTGGATTAGAAATCCAAGGTTAAAATTGATTAGAAGATTCAAACTAAGAAAAGTCATTTTCTTATTGTAATTGGGATTAGAAGCCTATAAAAAGACCCCACTAAGATCAATTAAAAACAATCAAGAATCAATTAAAAGAATCAAGAGAGAGCGTGTAAAAAAAAAATTAAGAGTTTTTTTATATTCTTTTCTAGTGTTTTGGGTTTAGATAATTAGAATTTTCTATTGAGAGTTATGTGTTAGAGAAAAGAGTTGAAAGACACATAAAAGGGAGTTAGTCAACAAAAAGTTTTTGCAGTAAAGTTTTTGAGGGTTTCAGGTCTATATGTTTTAGGTTTCTATTTGATTTTTGTTTAAACCAAAAAGAAAATTAATCATCATAGGCAAGGGGGCTAGCGAAGCCATAGGCTATTTTATAGAGAAACAAAAAAGAAGACAAGGTAATTTCTATTTTTTTTCTTCTTTGTTTGTATATCTATTTGTGTTACTTAGTTCTTTCTCTTTCTTCTTTTATGCATATTTAAAATAAATTTTTATAATAAATTATGATTCCTACCAAATGATTGGAAGATTTAAATCTTTAATTATGAATTCTATCAAACGATTGGAGAATTTCATAATGAATTTTTGAAAAATAATTTTTCAATCCTACCAAATGATTGGAGGATTTAAATTTTTAAGTTAAATTTTATCAAACCATTAAAAGATTTAATGACAATTTTTAAAAAAAAAATATCGTAAATAGGTTTTCAAATAAAAATCGCATCAAACAATTAGGGGATATGCATTAAAATAAAATCTTACCAAATGATTGGAGGATTCTATTGATTGTTTTAAAAAATAATGTCTTGAAAAATATGTTAATGAATTTAATGACGAAGTTTCTTAAGAGTAAGACATGAGTCTTTATGATTATTCCTGAAATGAGAAAATTATCTTAAATTACTACTAAACAATTAGAGTTGTAGACAGCTATATGTGTCCGGAGTCAATAGAGCCATTTTTATTAGTATTATTATATTATATTATTAGTATTATTTTATATTATTATTATATTAGAGTATAGAATATTAATAGAGTGATATATTATAGTATTATTATTATTATTATTATTATTATTATTATTATTATTATTATATTGTACATAGTTTGTTAGTATTATTATTATTATTATTACTACTATCATTATCATCATCATCATCATCATCATTATTATTATTATTATTATTATTTTAAAAAAAAGGAAGGAAACTGGTGATTCAATCACGGATCCGTTGGAGCATGATTCTTGGGGATTCAGTTACAGATTTGTTCGGCATAATTCATGCAAAGAATCAAGGGGAAAGAGCCTGAAAAAGGATGAATCCACAACCGGAAGCGAGCACAGAGAGAGCCTCGTATGCAATACCTAGAAACCTATGCCCAGGACTCCACCAGAAAAACAAGCAAAAGATCACTCTCCAACACCACCACTCGCGTCCTTTTTCTCTGTATTTCTTCCTCCAGGGTGGCCCACCAGCCATGATTTTCAAACGAGGAAACGTTGAAGCCTAAACAAAAGCTGGTTTTCTCGGTTCTGGAAATTGAGATCATTTTCCATTCAATAATAATGGGGTGGAAAAGTCTCATTGTGACAGCCAAGAAATGTTGTCTCGTTTTCTAGAAGGCGGATCGTTGTATAAGCGCAACAGTTTCGATCAGCAAGACCAGGGCTTGCCTGGAAGTTGTACACGGCTAAGGCGTAACGGAACGCGTCCCCACCAGTATCCCACGGTTTGCGCTTGGATTCTGGACAAGAAGGTGTTTTCAGAGGCATGCGCGCATGCGGGCCTTTCCAAGGTGGCGGAGGATTCTTTCTTAGATTTGATACGGTCAGATGCGGCTAGGCTTTTGAGGTTGAGGCATCCAGGAGTGACATACGTGGTCCAGGCTTTGGATGAAAATAAGAACGCGATGACGATGGTTACCGAACCATTGTTTGCGTCGGTGACTAATGCGCTTGGGAATGTTGAGAATGTGGCCCTGGTTCCTAAAGACCTTGTAAAGATGGAAATGAATTTGAAGCATGGGTTGCTTCAGATTACAGAATCCTTGGATTTTCTTCAAACCAATGCACGTGTTATTCATCTGACTATATCACTTGAGAATGTCCTGATTACATCAAGTGAAGTTTGGAAGCTTGGTGAGTTTGGTTTTGCTATTTCGACAGATCAGGTCTCTATTGATCTGGTTAACGTGCAGGCCTTAATTATGCTGAATATGATATTGAAGATTCTGTCATGCCTCTTCAACCATCCCCTCCAGGTCATTTCCACGAAGGTTATTTTTCTAATTTTGATTTCTTCTTTCTTGTTTTTTGTTATTAGCTATGTAAAGATCTTGAAGCTTACGAGTGAAAAAAAAAAATCTTTTCAAAAAGAAATCTTCATAAAAAAGGCTTTTTAAAATAAAAAAAAATATAATTTTTTTTTAGGTTTTACTGTTTTCTTTATGTAATAAAAGTAATAGTTCAAGGCTTGGATAATTTGAGATCGAAACTGGTACCATCTTTGGATAGACGTTATGGGGATGCTACTGTCACGGGTCGAGACTTAAGCTCCGAACCCGCGCGGTTTCGGGACCCGAGCATTCACCCTTCCGGCGTCCTAGATCAGCCTTCCTGCCATGGTTCACATCCTTGTGAGGTATTGTCTGCTCTGGCTTCTCTAGCCTCACGGTTTTGTCCTACAAAAGGCGCCTCATAAGGCGGAGATAGTGTGAACCCTTTTATACCCCAGTGACCCTCCTATTATGTTCGATGTGAGATTCAAGACTCCCCCTTAGGTCCGTGACATTCTCTCGCACTCAACCTCGTGACGCCCTCGTCACGGAGGCTGGCCACCCTGCCTACCTCCCTCGAGGTGCTTTGCGTGGATCGAACGGTTTCGGGCTGGCTCTGATACCACTTGTCATGGGTCGAGACTTAAGCTCCGAACCCGCGCGACTCCGAGACCCGGGCATTCACCCTTCCGGCGTCCCAGATCAGCCTTCCTGCCACAGTTCACACCCTTGTGAGGTATTGTCCGCTCTGGCCCCTCTGGCCTCACGGTTTTGTCCTACAAAAGGTGCCTCACAAGACGGAGATGGTGTGAACCCTTTTATACCCCAGTGACCCTCCTATTATGTTCGATGTGGGATTCAGGACTCCCCCTTAGGTCCGTGACACTACAACTTTCCTCAAGCGTAACAATTTTCAAATCTAACATCTATTTTGCAAACTAGCTTCAATCAGGTGGCCAATCACACCTAAACAAAAAAGATTGGTGGCGACTCCCTTTCATCCATGTCTAGCGGTAAGTCCACAGATTTATACGTTATGACAAGAGTAATTTTAAGAACAATTTCTAATAATTAAACTATTTGGTAAATTATAAAAATATTTTAAGGCTTGAACAACACAAAATTAAACCGGTACCATCCTTAGATGGGCTTTGTGAGGGTATTATAATATTGCTTATATATAACCGAACTCCAGAATCTAGTTCTGAAACATAGACCAAAACATATTCTTTTAGGGATCCTTGGTCAAGCTTAGTACATCCTTAGGAGGATAGATTCACTTAGATAACTAATCACACCTAAATAAATAAGATTGATGTTGACTCCTTTAGTTATGTTTAGCGATTGATTTTACGGATTTATACGTTTGACAATTAGTATTTAATTTAGGGTAGTGATAAGTTATATAAAAAAAAATTACATCTTTTGATGCCTTTTTTTTAACTATTGATTTTAATAAATTTAAGAGATGAAAGAGACAAATAGAAAAAAATAAAATAATCCCTCCCTTCTAATTTAATATATATAACAAATTTCATTCTTCATCCCATGATTTATTGGATTTGCAAGTTGCTATTTACATGATAGGCATGTATTAATAAGTTATTTTTTTTTAATCTATGAGAATTTTTCCAAAAAAGAAAAAGATTTGTTAGATATAGTGCAATAAAACATGAAATTGTATTTGAAATTTTTTTTTCAAAAAATAAAATAAATATTCCATGGAGAAGAAGTCAAAAATGAAACTATAAATTTAATGCCTATATTTAATGGTCAATACATATAACCTCAAAACGTTAATATGACAGAAGAAAACTTTTCCAAACCAATGCAAATTTGTTATTTCCAAATTAATTTGTTGTTAATGTTCAAGGATTCAAGCAACATTTTTCCTAGGAATGATAGATCGCAAAGGGTTTCTTCACTTTGACAAAAATTACCTATCTTTTATAATCTCATGGTGCTTCTAGTAATGGATTTTTAATTTCTCTTTCCATATTAGTTTGGAATTTTAACAATTGTGGCATTCTTGCTAGCAAATCCAATGATTTTGGGGTTATAAAATTTTGGAAATATACACTCAAAGCAAATGTTTATAAACATTCTCAAAATTATATTAGATGAATATGATTAAAACATTTATGTTTTTAATAATTGTTTAATGAAGTAAATAAAAATATTGGGATAATATCTTTCACAACCCCTAAATTATTGAAAATTTTTAATGTAATATCTCAAGTTTTAATTCATGTATCAATCTACCTAAAGACTTAACACTATTGACAAAAATTAATGATGCAATCAACTAAAAAAAATTTGACACATGTGCAAATATTACACATATAGAAATGCAGCGATTATGTAATTGTGATGCGACTATCACATGTCATAATTAAAAAAATAAAAATTAAACTTTTTAAAAATCTAAAATTTTTTTTTAAAATTTTAAAATTTAAAATTTTTAAAAATCTAAAATTTTTTTTTAAAATTTTAAATTTTAAAATTTTTAAAAATATTTAAATATGAAATTTTTTTAAAAAAAATTCAAAGTAAAAATAAAATTAAATACAAAAATCAATCAATGAGAGAGAAGAGAGAGGGGGACCAATGCCAATCTTCATAGTTCAAGAGAGATTGTGCCTTTTTTCTTCTCAAACAGTTAAATTGATGTCGATCACACGAATAAAAATTTTTATAAAATGTATTTGCACATCATATCTTATTTTTGCACATTTTTAGTCAACTTTATGATTCTAAAACTTGAATAAATGGCGAGTCTGATGCTTATATCATACAAAAAACAAATACCCATATCTAAGTCCATACAACATAGAATTTTATTTATCTAATTAAAAAATGAAAACTATAAGTTGGATTTTGCTTAAAAAAATTTCTTTTGTCAAGATGTCTTAGTCATGATATCTTTGCAAGCTCTTTTTTTTTTTTTCCAATTCAGTACCACAAGCTTATAGGCAACAATTTCTCATTGAACTTACAAAAAACCTTTAATAGATCGATTATTATGCTCTCCAAAGCTTTAACATGTCACTCTTTTTGTGAATTGGCTTATTTCGAAAAGATTCTAAGTCCTAGTGTCGCTTAGAACTTAATACATAAATCTGCTTTTCTCTCGTTCCCATCTTTCTTCCATTTTCTTTCATTCTTCTCACTTTTTGGCTTCTGCACTTTCTTCCTCCTATTTGTATGCTAGTAAAACCTAATTGATAAGTTGCTGAGTTTGGTTTTTGCCCAATTAGCTACCATCCACCGCTATCAACTAAAATTGGAATTGGTGGGGTGCGCCAAGCCTGTGCTGTAGTGCAACGCAAAGGCAACGCTCAAGAGTCCCAGTGTCACGGTCTCGAAATGAAGCCAAGAATACTACATCTGTTGAGTACTAGAGTTGATCTTGGGATATAAGGGTTCACACCTTCCCTTCCTTGTAAGACACCTTTTGTACGACAAAACTATGATGCCAAAGGGGCCAAAGTGAACAATACCTCACAAGTGTGTGAACCGTGGCAGGTAAGCTGATCTGGGATGCCGGATGAGTGCATGTTCGGGTCCCAGAGCCGTGCGGGCTGCGTGGGCATAGAGGTTGAGTCTCGACTCATGACAAGTAATCTCAGAGCCAGCTCTAAGGATACTAGCGATGTGCCACCGAGGACGGTGGGCCATCATTGGAGTGGGGGAGCATGTCATGTTCCTGAAAAGAAGCCAGAAATCCCACATCAGTTGAGTACTAGAGTTGGTCTTGCGATATAAAGGTTCACACCTTCTCTTCCTTGTGAGGCATTTTTTATAGGATAAAATCAAAAGGTCAAAGAGACTACAGCAGACAATACCTCACAAGGGTATGAATCATGATAGGTAGGCTAATTTGAGACGTCGGATGAGTGCATGCCAGGATCCTGGAGTCGCGCAGACCTGGAGGTTGAATCTCGACCCGTGACACCAGTAGCAAGCTACTATGATAGACTCTCCCCCTAAAAAAATTAATTTAATAACATGTGGGGCATTACTGATAAGAACAGATACTACACTTGATTTTAGCCAAAAGGCCGAAAAAGGTATGAGATATTTTGAGGCTCAGATTTTCTTTAATATCGAACCTTGGCATGATCCTTGGCTTGGGCTCTGGATATGGGATATGAACTTGGTGAAAGGAACTCTTACCCTAACGTATTTGCACATGAAAATTATTCTCATTTCTATTGAGGAGCTCTTTAATTTGTTATTCCTTTGGTGCAAGGTGAAGTCATTTTTAGCTAAAGCAAAATATTTCACCTTCTCTGCGTCAGACTAAGTTAGCCTGGGTAAACCTACTTGCTCTTTAAGAACTTGAGCTAATAACTAAAAAATAAATATTTAAATAATCAACCAAGTTGTAGCAGAAAATCAAGCATTAACATCACAAATTTCCTTGGACCAATGGTGTAAACAATCGAATTCGCTTGGGTAAGCATGTTTTTTCTGGATGCTGCTAAGCTGTCATTGCAAATTTGATTCATTACCAATTGGGCAACTGGGAAATCCAAAATCAATTCTCCCAAATGCTTCTTCAAATAGTGTCCAGTTTTAATTGTTTCATGAAATACTGGCCATATATGAAGAGTTTTACTTAAACAACTAAATTGGTTTGCAGTGATTGCATTGCAAATGTATATATATAGCTTCAAACTTACCGGAATCGTTCAAAGTTTTTTTGAAAAAAAAATTGTGGGAGTCTGTCAGACAACCTTATGACCATCCTATGCTGGGTGAGAACCAACTGAGAACGATCCCCTACTGCTTCGGTTGGTAGGGCAGGGGCCAAGTATAAGTTAATCTCGCTCCGATCACAAGGTTATTGTTCATCAACCAAACTTTAGATCCTCTCTCCTTTGTGCTCTGATCACTTTTCTTTCAAGTGATTGACATAGGCATGTCGTTAAATAACTATTAGATTTATCAATTATGTACACAAAAAAGTAAAGCTAACTTGCCAAAAGTTTTACTATTATTTGCAGTCTTGCATTAGTATCTAAGCAACAGACACATAGCTCTCAAGTGTCGTAAAAAGGTCTAAAGACATTTT